ACTATAAATTTCACAGAAATCAAATTATTACAATCAGAAGATGAATTTTGCAAAGGGATAATAGATGCTTTAAATGACAAGGAGGTCCCAATAAATATTAAAAGAAAGTCAAGACAATTTATTTTCAAAGACGAAATATTATATTTAAAAAAATACACACCAAATAAAACAATTGAATCAATTTTGGTACTACCACAAAAAGTAATACCAAACATTTTAAAATCTTATCATGAATCACTTATNAAAAATTTGTCCCGACGACCTATCTTCTATACGCAAATGGCTACCATATTCAAAAATATGCTATTTTTGTATGAAAATTATGGGTTTTGTATTTTATTTTAATAGAAGTTGATGTTGCTTTTGCAATTATCCAACAATTTTTTAAAATTAAACACTATCTACAGATTTGCATCGAAGCGTTTCTTATGATAGTGATTTTAATCACTGTCAGATTAAATCTAGACTGAACCCAACTATGCAATGTCTCCACTATGCCGCGACCCCACTGTGCTACCGTTTGTTTTTTATTATAAACATTTACAACAATCAACTTTAAATGATTAAAAAAATAGGTTAAATATGTCATTTTTCTTATTTTTAACTTATTAATAATCAAAATCAGTATTAATTTAAAACAATTCTTTTTTTTCTTTTAATTATTTTTTANATTTAAAACAATTCTTTTTTTTCTTTTAATTATTTTTTATATGTAATTAGTAATAATATAAAAAATTAGAACTGATAGATAAAGTCTAATTGCAGATTTGAAGACAACGCGAAAAGTTGATTTAGAATAGTATATTTTTGTTTCTGATGGAAGTTCCTTGTAGTCCAGTGTATAAAACTTATAACTTTGTTAACCCAACCCAACCAAACCCCACAATCTAGCACGGGTTACAGTCCTTTTTTCTTGATGTATGGATTCGAACCTGCATTTCCAGTAGATAATAAAACATTACCCACAAACATACCGTATGATATATTACAATCATTAGAATATCTTAAGTATGTTAGTGAAACAATTCCAAATATAATAAAAAAAGTACAAGAGAAACAAAAAAACAATTATGACAAAAAACACATCATATTAACATTCGACCCAAGGGACTTAGTATTAGTAAAATTTCCATTTGCTCAACCAGGAAAATCGCCCAAATTAGCACCAAAATATTGAGGACCATTTAAAATAATAAAGAAAGTCAATGACCTAAATTATATAATTGAATTAGTACTAAATAATAAGAAAGTGGAAGACACAGTGCATGTAAGACGTCTAAAACCTTACTTTCTAAGAAATTATGAATAAAACATAACACTTTTCAAAAAAAAAAATAATTCAAGTTTCCAAATTAAAATAAATTTCCTATCATAGATATTTACTTTCAAAACTGGCCGACCAGGTAATTTTATCCATACGATTCATCACAAACATTTAAATGGTTAGGTACCACAGGTAGATAAATAAGTCTAATCCGTCTAATCATCAATTATAATACTATTAATTAATAATTAATTAATTATATTACACAAATAATTTAACACAAAATACAGCGCAGCTACGCTTGTGAATGTAAACACAATACTAACCCAATAAGTTGAATGTCAAATCACAGCCTCTTTAGGCATGTAACAAAGGATCGNTAAAACTGGCCGACCAGGTAACTTTATCCATACAATTCATCACGAACATTTAAATGATTAGGTACCACAGGTAAATAAATAAGTCTAATCCCTCATCACTATTTACAGATTTATACGACGATATAATCATCAATTATAATACTATTACTTAATAATTAATTAATTATATTACACAAGTAATTTAACACAAAACACAGCGCGGATACGCTTGTGAATGTAAACACAATACTAACCCAATAATTTGAATGTCAAATCACAGCCTCTTTAAACACATAACAAAAAATCAAATAATCTACTAAATATCATTTGTCACAGCACCATAGCCATTATAACAAAAAAAAAAGGGGGGAAACAACCTAATTAATATCATAATTTTTTTTTCTCTTTTTTCACATTATATACACAACACAATAATACATATTTGAATAAACACTATACACATAATAACAATATTTCTTATCTTAAAACTTAATTTCAAATATCAAACAAAGATACATCATATTTTTAATCATAAGAAATAACACACAATCGAAAAAAATATATATGTATATATCGCTCATACAACAATGTAAATTAAATGAAAATTCTCCACATTTTCAATATGCTACCTTGTTAATAAGATAACATTTTTATATTTAAAAATCAAAAAAAATATATATATATTTTCTTTTCCATTACTTACAATAACTCATATAAACAAACATTTTAGAGTTGTGACTACCACAATTTCTCTTAAAGTAACAACATTACATGATTAATACACATATATCAAGAAAAGTCATTTTATAATTCTGTTCTGTGTTATTATAGTATGGACCCATCTTGTAATGGGATTTATTTCGTAAAAAACACCTTCTGGAGGAAGGTCCAAAAAGTGTGCGACGTAAAACAGCTATGCCCCAAATGTTCCCTTAACGAAAATCATCGAAAAACTGTGGTACATAATTATCACCTCTCAAAATATAATTATCAATGGACTCAGGATGTAATCCATTATTTTAAATCGAGACCGATATCGTTTCTGGCTAGGGAAATAGCTAACTATGCTTGGTGCGATGTGGAGTTGGATATGAGGAGGTGGTATAGTGCTACGTTCAGACCCGGTTTACCATCAGATGAAGGACATACATATTGGGAAGGGGGATTAATTAGTAGAAGTTTAACTAAAAAACGTAATAAAAAATATAAATACCCAATCACAACAAAAAATTATTGGAATCGCATAATTTTCTTGATATTTATAAAAAAAGCTAACATAAATTTTACAGATTTGTCTATTCTAAATAAATATAACCTAATGACCGAAAAAAAAGGATCTGTTTCTAATGACCCATGGGCATTCACATATCTAAATAGTTCAGATTCTTTAAATGAAAATGAAACGTGGAGTTATGATAGAACGTTAGATTATAAAAATGTCATTCTTAAATATGACATCATTACAATTGAACAAGCCATATCTTATGAATTCATATCATTTGAATTCTGCACCACTTTTGCAGAGTGCATAAATTATGCAAAGATCTTTTTTCCTTATGAGAAGTTTGATTATTTTACATATGGGGATGCTTCGATTTCTAAAGAGAATTGGAATACTCTCATTATAATGTAGTGATGAGGTAATTGAGGTCTTTATGTAGTAATATACCACTTCCTTCCTAATATTATATATTCCTTTAAAACTTTAGATTTAATTTTATTATATATAACGTTTACTCTTATATACAATGTTATACTTAACATAAAATTATTTAATTTAAATCTAATATTAATCATTTAACTTTTAGAGATACTATTTTATGTCATAAATACTTTAATACAATACTACTTTTGATTTACTTACATTGCATTTATTCTATTATTTTATTATTCTATCACATACAAAAAAAAAAGAAGAAGGGGCATTACATTAAAAATCTATCGTGAAATTTTCATGTGCTTAATAATATAGCATAGCAATAATAGTCAAGGTCAAATAATATCCTTTTGAAAATTATTATTATTTTCTAATTTCTCAATATGATTTATATTCAATGTTTAATAATTTTTAAACAATATATTCATATTGTATCAAACCAAGTATGGTATAATTAATGTAATATTATTTCTGATACTTAATAATTATCTCTATTCACCATGTTATAAGGAAACAATAGATTATTATAATCCACAATTTTCCTAAAAATATATTTGGAATAAATTATATAAAAAAAAAAAGAATTATATCCAATTTAAAATTATATACATTTTTAATTTCATATTATTTAACATAAAGGTAAACATGAATCTGCTACTATCAATCATACTCTCAACTGTGTTCATTGAAGCTCACTCAATCATTGCATACGATTGCTCGGCAGACCATTTGAACATAACGTCATTTAGTAGTCTTTCGGTAGCACAATGCGAAAAACCTCTACCAACAAAAACAATGAAAATAGATCGGATAAAATTAATACAAAAAACTGAAACTCACAGCATTTATTACAAAACCTGTCTGATAGCCATAGACTATCTCATATTCAAATGTTCAACATTTGGAGATTTACAAGATTACCTGATAACTATTATTCAGAAGTCTCAGAAATAGGTACTGCTAGATGTGAAGAAATTCATAAGAAACTAATTTACCAACTTCCACAAGGAGGAATCATACAAAACTTACGAGTCAATCACACAACTAAAGCATCTTACACAATCGCAGGTTCCATTGATCACAAAGGGAACTGCGAAGGAACCACCTTTATTAGCAACAGAGGTACATAGCTCAAGCAAAATTTGAAATAACGCTTACTGATGGTTATGCAACAGCAAATTATAGGGACAATTCTATGATATTACCAAATGATATTCGTTTCCCATTATCAGCAGCATATGGTTTTGACTCATCCAAAGGTGAAATAATATGGAACACAAAATCATATGATTGCGACATAGAATATGATGTCCTCTATGATGGTCCAGCTGCAGTTATCTCTTCTAAAACTTTTCAAAATCCCACTGAAGAAACAAAAACCTTTTTAGTTGAAACAGAAGGAATAGCATTTGCACTAAAATATGTAAAAAATGTTTTTGCTTGTGGCATACCAGTAGTACAAACAGAACACCACAATTATACATTATTACTTTAGCTAATCGCATGGATGATTTTTCACTAAAACCAATATCTCCACAGAATACAGAACTGATATCATATGTCAATACAAAATTTGTTTGGCTTGAATATCGAGTTGCTCAGTCGTTAAATGAATTATATATAGACATAATAACAAAACAATGTCTATTAGAACGTAAATTACTTTTGCAAAAATTATCTTTGGCCACTTATAGTTTGACAGAATTCGCATANGTGGCCACTTATAGCTTGACAGAATTCGCATATGCCATGTGTGAAACACACGGTTGTGTGGCATTCTCTAATGGAGAAATTATATATTTAATGAAATGCAAACCAGTTCTGGTAAAAATAACTAAAAAGGATACTTGTTTCAATGAATTGCCTGTACTATACCAAAATCAATCATATTTCATGTCACCAAAATCTCATATACTACAAAGGTATGGAACTGAAATAATATGTAATATCAGATTTCCTTCAGCATACTTCATTGAAGGAGAATGGCTTGGACTAAATCCACACTTAACTGAAATAAAAACACCACAAACACTACATCCAGAAACAAAATTCACATGGAAATACAAATCTCTAGAATATCTTATCTCTGCAGGCATTTACAACCAAGATGTAATGCAAGCATTACAAAAACATTTAATGTTTGCTCAAGAAGTTACAGCAATACAAAATAATATAGTGCGTCAAACTTTAGGATATGAAGTATCAAATCAACTCAATTTACACAGACTAATAGACCCAACTGTCATAAGCGATATGGTAGAAGATAAATTACACAAAATGTGGGGATGGTTCACATACTTTGGTTCACTGATGTCTGGTGTATTAGGTATTATTNATTCACTAATGTCTGGTGTATTAGGTATTATTTTTATGATTAAAATCATCACCTTGATTATAAATGCTTGCATGAATATACAATTGCTATATAATACATTTGGCTGGAGCATTAGACTCCTTGGTGGACTCTTTAATAATATTACACATTACTTTATGCACCAAAATCATCAACAACAATACAATAATGTTGTTGATTTATACAATGTCAAAGTAAAAACACCTAATCCACCAAATACTCAAATAAACTTTCGTTCTCTTCTCTATCCAGATCTCAATCAACAAAATATAGAATAATGTTTGATGACATCATGCAAATACCACTGCACAACTATAGATATCCGAATCTGCTTAAACCAATACTCACTCAATATGATCCAAATACAATTTACGACAATACCAAATTCTACGTGTGGTGTTATGGTCAATCTGTCTATCTATTTCCTAAATCAACCAGAGAAGAAAGAATAAAATACAGAAAACAAAAACGAACAAGAAAATTTAATATTTCAAATTAAATAACATTTTTTCTTTCTTTGCTTAAAAATTACACTAATGCAATGCTAGGCTTAATTTACCTTTATATTAACACTTCAGTAACATTTTTTTTTGGGCATTCATGAAATTTATTTATACAACTATTAATTCTAATAAAAAAATTACATCTAGGAAATTGTTACGAAACAGTAACGAAAATAAAGATTATGAACAATTCAATTCATTTTTACCATCCACCAGGAATGCCGTTTGGCGAACAATTTTTTCCAATTAGACCACAAATAAAACAAGAATTTAAAGAACCATTACCACGCCCTTTTCTTACTTTAATAAACACTAGAAATCTCATTACAGTATCTTGGTCCATTAATATCAATTATAATATGTCTAGAGTCAAACATTTTGAAATAGTTTTGTGGACAGAAAATTTAATTCAAAATCATATTACTTGTCACAGTTTTTTCATACCTTTTCGTTCCACCACTATGTCTTGTCGTATCACAATTTATAATACCAATAGAGATTATTTTTTTGCAATTAGAGCAGTAGATGAATATAACAGATTCTCCCCTGTTCACAATAATCAAATATTTATCCCATAAAAATTATTTCTCAATCAATTATTACTTTTATCATTTCATTTTTTTTTTTTATATACCATTCATTCATACTAAAATGCATCATAATTACCACTATCATTTATTTCCCATATACTTAATATACAAAAAAAAGAGTTTTGAACAAAAATTTTCTTTTGTTTTTCCCAATATCCAGTTGATAACATCATAAAATTTCTTAATTTTCTTCTTAATATTATTATTCATTATTATAAAATTAGTCTTAGAACCATAATTATAAAACAAAAAAATTGAGATAAGGTAAAAATCACAAAAAAATTTAGAAGATACAAAATATAAAAAAAAAAGGGTTATTTTTTTTGTTATCAACTTGATACCATCACAAGATTAAATATTACTGCTATTAATAAACACTATTAATATTATTACTATTATTATTATCCTTATTATAAAAATAAATTTTTTGAATAATAATAATAATAATAATGAATAAGAAAACAAAAAAATTATAAGATAACACAAAAAAAAAGATTTATAAGATACTATGAAAATACAAAAAAATATTTTTAGACCATATTACATTGGTCACCACACTATATTTTAAATCTAAAACAAATTATTATTATAATAAATATAGTTTAAAAAAACTAAAAAAACACGCTTTTAAAGCACATCGAACTAAAAAGTTCAAAATAATTTTTAAAATAAGCTTAAAACAATAATGAACGAAAAATACTAGTATTATTGTGATAAAAGCGTCGGGCGCTCAATATACGAAAAATATGGCACAAAGCACCCACGCTTTTATTACAATAATACTAGTATTTTTCGTTCATTATTGTTTTAAGCTTATTTTAAAAATTATTTTTAACTTTTTAGTTCGATGTGCTTTAAAAGCGTGTTTTTTTAGTTTTTTTAAACTATATTTATTTTAAACTTTTTAGTTTCAAGTTATGATAGTAGTTATGGTTGTAACGGGTAACGAGAAATGAGGGTTCGATTCCGGAGAGGGAGTCTGAGAAACGGCTACCACATCCAATGACCACAACGATGGTAGGAATATATAAATATATATACGTAAGGCGCATTAGACGCGGGCGGTATTGGTCAGTCAAAATAAAAATTTGTTTACATATATATAATATTGATGACAAGCACGCGTGTACGGGTACGATAACTAAAAATAAATTTTTATAGGAATAGTGTGCCGTCGTGTGGTGAGCGAGGCGTGAGGAGGGGTGAATGCGTTATGACAGTCTAGTCTAGACGACGGAATATGCGATAACGCGTGGCGTTTGGAGAGTTACAAACATACATACATACATACATACATACATACATACAGGTGAAACTAATATAAGCGTGTTAAAAAATATTTATACTTATTACATTATCATAGTTATTATTATACTTAAATCATAATTTTCTCATTACTATTTATAATTTCATACAAAAAAAAAAATGTAAAAACAACTATTACAGTTGTCACTAGAATTATAATCACTATACATGCTGTCTTAACATCATTAAGTTAATTATTCATGTCTATTTTGTTCTTTGAAAAAAAAAAAAAATGTACAATCAGACATTACACTGATTACTATTATTATTATTACTTAAGCTATTGTAATCATAAAAAAATATCATACCAATACTTCTACTACTTCTCATGTATAATTTTGTAACTTGACCAGATTTCTCAATAATGTAAACCCAAAATTGAACAATTAACTAAATAATTTTTTCTTTCACTATACTCTGATTATGTAACTATACACTAAAATTAATATCAAATATTATTCTTTGCTAAAAAAAAAAAAAAAAAAATAATACTTAAATACCGTTGTTTACAACCTTTCACAAAGTAATGTTCAATACAAAAAATTTTTATATATTCTTTTTTGTCCAAACTCTTATTCAAGAAGTTTACATCTGTACCCCTTTAAATATTACTATTCTTACATTATATCATTTTGTTGTGAGGACACAACATTTAAAAAAATTGGGGCGGATGTTGTGATACCGTTCATCGCTCAAATTTAATATCATTCGCAATGTTTATCACAAAACAAAATAATTATCTTAAATTGATATCATAGCATAATCACTAATGTAATTAATACAATGTATGTACTTGTTCAGTTTAAAATTAATATCTGTATCATAAATGTAAACACTGTAAATTAATCTACAAAGACAATGTATTAAGTAACAGTATCCCTAACAAAAATCAAATGTACCACAACCAATGCAATATATTATCCCTGCTTATAATTTTCGATTCAATAAAGATGAGAGCCCTGGTGGTCAATTCCTACATTTTGGTGACATATATAGATCATAGATTTCATATAAAAAGCCGTAAAAAGCTATAAAATACGGACATTCCACTTCTCAAGCCTAGAATCAAATGAAGCAATAGACCACCAGTCTCTCGAACATTCAGAAAGAAAAACTTGTCAGTCTTATTCATTTCAATTCCGCAAAAACATTATAAAGTAGGTGATACATTTTAATTCCAATAATTTGGAATTATTTAATCCGAGAAGAAAATGACAAAACAATAGTAATTAATTTATCTTTACACATACTAAATTTATTAACTGGTTTGTCAAGAGAATTATTAAATGCGTTCGAAGTGCTTGACCAAAGATCGTACCTACGCATTTTCTTATTACGTTTCATAGTTGCCGACTTAAGCTCGTGCCTTTGAAACGTGAGACTATTCAAATGATTCACCAAAGTTTATAAAATTTGATACACACATTAAATCTCAATATTTATCATAACCCTTTTATTAAATTGTATTGTCATTCTCTAAAACCCTCGGACTCCACGACCCCAATAATATTGAACAAACTGAATTATAGTAACCGAAAGTAAGATAATTAAATTTATTCAAGTGCTCAAAAATTCAAATTAATTAATCAACACACCCAATTTTATTTATTATATATAAACAACTAAAACCTTACTTTTGGCTCGCTATAATAGCTTCTGATTTTAAACTTAAATTAGGAACAAAAACACTATTTTGCACGTTAGTTCGTCCTATTTTAGAGTATGGTGCTATCATCTGGAATCCACATACAGCCAACGACACTTGTTTGGTTGAAAGTGTACAACGTAGGTTTTTTGCGGTTTGCTGGTTTTGTATAAGATATTCCTCATCCACAACATGAATACTCACCTATTTCCGAATGCCTTAATCTTCCTTCACTTGATGATCGCTGAAAGGCTTTAGGTATTAAATTCTTAAAAAATTTGCTTGACGGTAAAGTTGACTTTCCATCTCTTTTAGCGCTAATTAAATTGAAAGTTCTCCAAAGAAAATCCAGAAATCACCCTCTCTTCTTCATACCTATCTGGTCTTCTAATTATATTTATAATGAGACAACTAAACGTTTAATGACACCTCTTTCAATTTCAATTAAACATTTATTTTATATACTTTTGTTTAAATGTTTGTTTTTTCTTAATGTTTATTATTTTTATATTACTGTTTTTGTTTCATTTTCTGTAACTGTATTTCTGTATAATAAGGGTCAATCCCATTGAATAAATAAATAAATAAATAATATATTATCAATACAGTATTGCCAACACTATATTGACAAGCAGTAAAAATTTGTAAAAAAAAATACAATTTCAAATAAACACAACAACCCGAAAACAGTAATTTGCTATTTAGACAATGTTCCTAGACGAGTTGTGAAGTCAAGGGTTTTTTTTATAATAAATAATTAAATAACACAGTGGTTAGATAATCGATGATAACTTATATTACTNGCCAACACTATATTGACAAGCAGTAAAAATTTGTCTAAAAAAATACAATTTCAAATAAACACAACAACCCGAAAACAGTAATTTGCTATTTAGACAATGTTCCTAGACGAGTTGTAAAGTCAAGGGTTTTTTTTATAATAAATAATTAAATAACACAGTGGTTAGATAATCGATGATAACTTATATTACTATTATTATAAGCAAATGAAAGCCGTAAAGTGTCACGATGATTTTTCGTAAGGAAATTGAAAGTAATTACAGTAGAAACTTGATTACTGACGATTTACCGTCAGTTTTTGTTATCCGTCATTGGTCACCGTCAAAAAAAAAAATTTTATGATGCTATCGCGATAAAATCGTCGCAGTACCTAACGCGGCAACTATCATGCGTATAAAAATAGTTTATAATATCAATGCAATAAACACGATAAATGCGGCGATAACGAACAAATTTTTAAATTAAATTTCGTCACGGCATTCGACAACTAGATATTAGTGGAGAGAAACTTAGTGCAAATTGCGCAGTTGTTGCTGAATTCAGTAAAAATTCAAATTTAAAATACAATTTAA